TGAGGAAAAAAAATTAACTTAAATGATTTTAGCAAATGGCTGCAATATAACAAAGAGTGAAAAATTGAAGGGGGTCTGAATACTTTCCGTACCCACTGTATTTTTATATAATATTTATTTATTTAAATTTTACATTTTTAAATAAATGTAAATAATTTTAAATAATACTTTTTTAAATAACACATTTTAAAATATTAACTTAATATAAATACATATTTGTTTTATATATAAATTACAATAAACATAAAAATATTTAAAAATATTTGATTTATTTAAATGGTTTCAGACACCTATTTTGAAAGTTATTTGTTGCACTTTCTGCATCTTTGAAAAACAACACTAATCATGTGTTTAGTTACAATTTCTTTAAAACCACCTTGGTGGTTAGTGGACCACAACTGTATGTTTTCAACCATAGCATGAAAATTGCTGAGGAAAACACTGCATGATCGAATCACAAGGACCAAATCAAGTGTATGACCAGCTGACCCACGTAATCATTTATATGAGCTTAACACATGGCTGAATAACCAAAATTGTGTGTGTGTGTGTGTATGTGTGCTGGGTTTGAGATAGTATCAGAACAGGTCTTAAACATGTTGGTGTATACAGCTTATTTAATAGTTCTTATTGCACTTTGGCACTTACATCTACATTGCATAGTCTATATAAAGCCAGAGGGCCTGATTTAGCATTTGTGTGTATAAAAACACTGCAACATCATAATACAAGAATCTGATCTACTAATGTAATTCGCTGAGTACATCTTTCAACACCAGCACTAAAAGCCTCCTTTAAACTTATTTGCACAATAATTCTGAGTAAATTACTTGCAATACACCCACGAAGCGACCACACACAGTTTGTTAGATTGCACAAGACAAAATTAGTACCGCTTTATTTGGAATCCTAGTAACTCGGGTCAAAGGAATAGCTAATCAAGCAAAAACTGCTGTTGTTATGGCAGATACAGCCAAAGAAACTATCTGTTCAACCAGACACTGTGAAAATATAATGACCTGAGGCGCAAAATCTGCCAAATTTGTCCCTCTCCCAGTGAGCAAGGAAACAAGGTTGGATAAAAGTAAGAGAAGGCTGAAGGGAAAGAAAAGTGAAGAGGAAATGAAGTGAGAATGATAAGGAAGAGGTGGAAAAGAGCTTGCAGGAGCCACCGGCCAGAACATTTGCTCATGGGAGAGGGTGAGGTCAACATCTCTGCAACATTTCTGTAACACGCACACGAATCATAATCAACAGTGACACGCAAAGACTGCAGCTCCTCTCCAGAGCCCAGATCAATCCGCTCCTATAGTAGCCATCTGCGTTTCTCGCCGCTAAGATTCTGGACATCTGTGTGGTTGTGGGAGAGGGAGAGCGCGAGCAAGGGAAAGCGTTAAGGAGAAACAGACCATCCTTCCTTTGCCTGTGTCAATAACGCTGCATATCAAATGTAGAACAGCGTTCCCGCAGGACCGAATGCAGAACGGGCATGGATCAGTCTGTCCGTTCCTGCTTCTAACACGAGAGTTTCATTAAGTGATCGCAAGCAATATCCATATATATAAACAGATGCCAGGCCTGTCTGACAGACTCCGGCTGAGTCAGAATATTGAGCAAGTTTTCTTTTATGTAAGAAGATACACACAGAAGGGTCGTTTGTCACCTTGAATGGGTTTATTTAAACAATATCACATGGGGAAAAGATCTATATCAGCACTTCTATATAGACAAATTTTATTGGTTAACTTGCACTACTGTTTAAAAGTTGTTGTTTTTTTTAAAGAAAAGAAATAAAGAAAAGAAATACTTCAAGTGATCAAAAATGACAGTATGAGTCTATTTAAAATACATGATCTTTGTTTGAACTTTCTATTCTTCAAAGAAACCTGAAAAAAAAATGTCAACATTGATAATAATAAGAAATATTTCCACAACATATTAGCATATTAAAATGATTTCTGAAGGATCATGTGACACTGATGACTGGAGTAATGATGCTGAAAATTTAGCTTTTCCATCACAAGCAATTAATTAAATGTTAAAATATATTAAAATAGAAAACAGCTATTTTAAATTGTAATAATATTTCACAACATTACTGTTTTTACAGTTTTTTAATCAATCAAATGCAGCCTTGGTGAGCAAAAGAGACTTCTATGGAAAACATTAAATATTTTACCAACCCCAAACTTATGAAAGGTTGCAAAACAAATAACTAAATAGAGATGAAAACAGAGGTTGCGGAGTGTTACAAGAGATATCAAACTAAGAAATTGATTCTCGGGGTCAAAAATGTATAATAAAGTTTGCTAAACCGTATACAAATATATTTGACAGCAGAATATCATAACTGACAAATCAGAATCAAGCATCCCAGAGAACTGTTTAATTAATGACAATCAAACTTTGGTAAGATACAAAGCACTGCATATTCAGAAATCTATCTATATACTGGTGCTTTAAAGAACCCAGAACCCATTCAACTGATACGAAGAACATGAAGAATATTATATCATGAGGAACCATATAATTAACTCAAGAAGCCTATACAGTAAATCATGGTTGTTGAGTAGAAGAACCACTTAAAGAATCTAAAGGAATTTCTGCCCGGTGCTGCTACTGGCTAACACATTTAATAAGAAATATTAATAGTCAAAAGTAGATTGTATTCAGGAAATAAAAGAAAGCCACACTGATTCCTTCTTGCCAGACTTCAGGGGAGGCCTGAGAGAACATAAGAGGACATCTCATCTTTCTTTTCTTTTTTCACTCCCCTGACTCCATTATTCTCACTCATCTAGTCTTTGCATCGCTCCATGTGCCAAACATTCTTATTCTTAGCCTCTTTTTTCTCTGCCAGTGTCTGTATTACTGCCGTTAGGTGAACTTCTCCAAAGCTTCACTCTCCTGCCATTCTGGCTCAAGATCTGACGGCCGCGTCTGGCAGTTTCACTATTCCCCTGCTCAAAGTGAGTGACTGGTGCTTGAACTCTGAAGACCAGGCACTTTTTTTCTTAAAAATGCCTTGGCAAGACCATCACAAAAGGTTGCCGTCATATGGTCTGTGATCACACAAACACACACACTTTATCCGGAGATACATCAACCTGGATAGGAGCTTAGAGTAAATGGAGTGTGAGATTTAAAAAAGGAAGCTTAACAAATGTCTCTCGCTCTTTCTCAGTCTCTCTCTGTCCTGCAGACTGAGAACTGTGCTGTCAACTCTTCATATATCATAGAAAAGCCTCTCATACACTTGATTTATACACTGCAACGTTTTCATCCATACACCTCTGTTTCCAATAGTTGGTACATGAAAACTAAAAACCAATACTAAACAAAACTACAAATGCACAATTGAAAGTTCTAAACTTAGGACTGAAAATGAAACACTTATTAGCATGCATATTACTAGCATTATTGGCTGTTTATTACTACTTATAAAGCACATTTTAATGCCTTAAATGCAAAATCAATAACAACAACAACAACAAGGGCTTGGTTAAATGGGTTTAAAATAAAGGGAAAAAAGG